AACCCTTCCTCTTCCTCTTGACTGACAATGAGATGAACAGTATCAGGGCATCAGTGGAAGTGTTTTTTCCATATTTGCTTTCCTTTTTTCTAATTATGAAGAACAAATATCTATTCTCGAGTTCTAATCTGTAGTTGTGAAAGCATTCCAATATGAAGTATTTTGAAAGATTTTTTTTGTCAATTTTTCCTGTCAGTGTTTTACAATATTTCACCCATTTCTGAATACCTGTTTGAAATTCTTTCTGAACTAGCAAGGAACTAATGTATGAGGTCCTTCTAAACTAGCAACAAAACAGATTACCCGGATGGGGGAAAAGCCTCTTGCCGAAGTGAAAATTAGGGATTCTGATGCTGGAACTGTTGGAGAAACACGGAGCATGTAGTTAAAAATCGCAAAAAGGATTTAGGCACCGGATGCTTTGTGAACGAGAACAATACCGAAAGGCGAGTTCAGCTATCACAGTTGGAGATTAATTAACGAAAAATTTATTTATTAGTCGTTATGCATTCTTTCGAATTAAACCCGCGAAAGAGGCCAAGCGTAGAAAGCATACTTCGAACTGGATTGCATTTCTAGTAACACGTACATGAATCAATAAATTTGGAGCAGTATTTAGTTGATGTTACTACTATTGGAGTGCAATGATCAATTTTGCAGTAAAGGGTGCCTTGGAACAGGGCTAATACTTCGTCTTAGACATATGTAACTGATCACATGTAGAGTCATGGGTTCACCTCGAGCAATGCTGCTCAGTACTGGCTCAACGTAAAAGTACTATAGTACAGAGACAAATCTTATATCATGCAATTATTCATGGCTTTGCAATGCGTTCTATATTATTCCTCCATATTTCTCACCTGAGTTGGGAAGTGAACCAAGAATTCTGCTCTTGTTTGAGCCCTAGTCTTCATTTTATCGCTGCTAAAACGGTGTTTATATTAGGTTGGTGCATAAGTTCTTGGCCACGTGTTTGATCCTTCCGTATTTCGTTTGCATGGATGTTGGTATATCGTCATCACGTGTGCGTGACGTGGGCACTATACTCTTTTAACTAGCTAACACTCACCCACCTTGCATTTGCAGGTCACAATGTCGCCCCACATATTTCCACTGGGTTTACGAAATGTACACTGCCGCCATGCTGCCTGAGCTTTTACTATTCACGATTCACAAAAGAAGTTCCACTTTCTCAACTCGATGATCACTGGAGATGGGAAGTGGGTCCTCTACGATAACCCTGTGAGGAAGCGGCAGTGGTCGACAAATGCAGAACACCCACAACCACTCCAAATGCCACTTTCACCCCAAGAAGTTCTTCCTGTTCTTGTTTGGTCGGCTCCAGAAGAGCATGGATACGGGAGCCTCCTGGAAGCAAGACGACACACGATTTTTCGCTTCCACATATGTTACCCAGCTGCGCAAATTGAAAGTTCACGTTGACCTTACTCGTGGATCGAATGCGGAAATCTGCTTCCACCATGACAACGCCCGACCTCACACCGCAAAAGCCCACGCCAGCGCTGCGAGAATTACGATGCTATGGCGCCCAGCCCCCCCGCCCCCCTACACCCTGAACATCGCTCCTCTGACACTGACTGCCTTCCTGCCACCTGCCAGCGCTTCTTGGACGGAAAAAAGTTCGAAACACAAGGATCAGGTCAGAAAGGCGCTCGACGACTTCAAGTCCCAGCCTCCGTCGTTCTGGAAGGATGGAATCGACAAGCTGCCTGAGCGCTGGCGTCGAGTAGTGGATGGTGATGGTGCATACCTCTAATCTTCAGGTTGGTTCGCTTTTGAGATATTTACGAAAAAAATCGTGGCCAAGAACTTATGCACCAACCTAATAGCTTCATTGCTAATTTTCGGAGATCATCATCATCATCATCATC